TGCCCAGTGTGTGCATGAGTTCTCCTCCGAAGGCTGAAGCTCTGTCCATCCTGCCTGTTCGTTGCTACTGCCAGTCCCGCCCATGAATATGGAGCTGTTCTGTGGCTGGGAGCTTGCTTATGTTTTCTGTCTGATATCTAGACCCCATTCCCATTTCAAAGGGAAGTCCACCCGGGGCCTTGACTTTTTGATCTGCCTGGCGACTGAGTCGACCACCTGCATGTGGGATCAGCTGCCAGTGAGAGCAGACAACCACTCTGCTTCAAAATATACATTCTCGCCCCCCTCTGCATCTCTCGCCCTTTTTTGCTGCTTCATTGCCCTTCCCTATTACCCCTCTTCATGCCGTGAAGCTGCCATGAGCCACAGTGGTCCTAACTGGGTCTGGAGCTGTATCCCATTCTCAACAGTTCTGTCTGTCAGTAGGTGTGATGTGGGGATGTTCAGAGCATCATCAGAAAGGATCTTGCAGCAGTTAGAGGAGTATTTTGTATGTATGAGAGTTAGCGTTGTAATGAGCCACAGAAACAACTGAAACCCCAGGACAAGGTCTGACGCCTTTCTAAAGTTATTTTAAAGATAAAATTGGGGAAAAAAACCTTGTTATGAACAGAAAATATGAAACTGTGTCTGGATTTGATGCCACAGACACACAACTGAACTCATTAACAACACCTAAAGTGTTTCTTTACTAATTATCCTCACAGGCAGTGATGAGTTTCCAAGTCTAAGAGGTATAACATTTAACTTTCAAACAAAGCAACAGCTATTTAAGATGTGAATGTTCCTTACAATAAGTGATATTCACACAGTCTTAAAGCTAATTGGCTTTCTTGAACCATGGCAGCGAGCTAAACGAGTGAGTAATTGTTTCTCAGCAGGGGTGACAGCCATGAGACCTTAAGGATGTTTTAGGAAGAAGTGCTAGTTATCGTGTACGACATCAGAAATGAAAAAGAGAAGACAGTCACACTGACACCTGGGAATTTAAATCAGGACCTAATCTGAGACAAATACTTTTAGAATCAAGTTCACTGTGTTATATTTATATGCACCTTGTTTTTGAAAATTGTGAACTCTCAGAGAGCTCTTAATTAAAAGCAACTGACTTTAAAATTTTCTAAATGCTAAATTCAATTAAAAATTTTCTATTTTAAAGGATCTCTAGTGATTTACATCACTGCCTTACTAGTTTGATTCTTTAAAACACTGGACTTCCCAGCAGACATCATCCGTATTCGTTTGTACACACACACACTTTGTCTGGATATGTTGGATTTATTTTTCCTGAGCCTAGCGTCTATAAATACACTAAGAATCTAAATAATAATCTAATTCAAACTATAAGATCAATAACAACAAAATAGTTTAAAGGTGCAACCAGGGCTCTAACACATCAGTCAAAATCATATTAGAGCCCTTTTCCTTCCTTTTCAACATCTGTAATCAAGACGTTCCAACGCCTTACACTAGTGATGGTTTGTAAACACATCAACAGTTGATTCATGCTTAAAATAGTTGCTTCCTTGTCTAATAAAGTAACTTTTTATGTTCAAGGAATTTTGTTACAATATCGAGCACTTTTTTTAAATAAGAAAAACCTCTTTTAAAATCTTGAAAATACCCTGTTAAAATCCCAGTTTTTTCTAGAATTTCCTTTAAGAGCTCTACAGCAGAAGATGACAAAGCAAACAACGTCTGACATCAAAAGCAAACGTAATTTATCACAAAAGATGTTTCTAAAATAAGGAAGGGAGCCATTCGAGGTTCCTGCACATCATCTTTGCTCTCTTTTCTGACTCTCTGCTTTTAAACAACTTCAGATTTAATGTTTCCAGAGCTCAACCTGAAAACAAAAACATTTTCTTTTATGCAGACGGTGATAAAATGTTAAAGAAACAATGGGGGGTGAGCGCAGTCGGCAGTCTACAAGCTGGCAGCAGGGCCTCGGTTCGGAAAGCCCTCATAAATCCTGATTTGAGCGGGGCACTAACCAGAGGAGCGAAGGCACATCAAGAGGAGGGGTGGGGGGGGTGGCGTGCCTCTTAAAATGCTACGTCTGATTAAGTTTTCCCATTAGGTGACAGCTGAACTTTAACATTAATATGATAATATTGAAATAAGTGCGTGTTATTTACTTCAACAGCAGAGGGGGTGGAGGAAGGAGGAGGAGGGAATGATGAATGATTTCTGGACAGCTTTGGGTGACATGCCAGGCGAGGTGACCCCCCCACCCCCACTCCACACACACACACACACACACAAACACACACACACACACACACACACACACACACACACACACACACACACACACACACACACACACACACACACACACACACTTCTCTTCCCATAATCAGACTTGACAAAATGGAGACATATGCAGAAATATTGGTTACAGTCGGCGTCACAGCCCTCCTCAGGCCTACTATTTGCTGGCTGCCCTGTGAGCCGCCCAGTAAATTGTCTATGGGCACTGAAGCATCTATTTCAATTGGCACTTCCTTCCTGCCCCGGGATTTTACATTTAGTCAGTGTCATTTACATATTACTCTTAATCAAAATCCACAGCGGGTAAGAGAGAGAGGGAACAACAACAGAGGACAAGAAACAAAACTGTGGCGTCACGGTTCAGGAGGAAGCACACAGGCACTTTATGAAATGGAGATGTGACAAGATATTAACTTTGTGTGTGTTTGGGTGTGTGTGTTGGGAAGAGCATGTACAAGATAATGCTAGGCCTATTGATATGTTGAATGCTTGTGTTTTTGGTATTTGTTTGGGGCTGCTTTGTGCATGAACCAAGAGAAACAAAGGCAGTAGGCTGTTTTGGGGCAGTGAGTGAATTTTGTGAAGAAAAACTGGGAAAATGTACAGTTTGCGCTTGTCTTATTGAGCTTTTTTTCCCTGGAAGAGGCTTTATTAAGCTGCTCTTTTCTCCATCTAACCAAGGAGCAGCACAATGGCATTCAAGCAAACAGCCTTTCATGCTATTTGTTTTGGTGCAGTTTACTCAGATGTAGGTAAACACTACTTTGATAATCAGAATTATGCCACTTAATGCGTATACATGTGCATCTGAGTTGACCTAAAGCCTTTATCCCAGTTTACATGTACGTTAGAAAATCGGACTCTCAAATGAAGTTTGACATGCACTCTTTCGTTCAGTTAGCCATTTGCTTTTTTTTTTTTAATATATACATTCTCTCCCCCCTTTGGCAATGATATGAACAGAAGACCGCTTCCGCAATCTTGTTATTTCCGAAAGTTACCGGAATCAACTCGACTGAGTCGTTTACATGCAGATACAGTCGGGGTCCTACCACATTATCTGGGTGCTTCAGCACAATTAAAACCAGTTCACCTTCAGAAAGACTAACGTATTTACATGAATTAAAAAAACAAACAAACATCGTCAGCCTATTTAGGACAACTGTTTGGATTTCTGATTGGGAAAGAGAACCATGATACGGTAAATCCTCTAATATTAGCCTGTATTTAATTTACTGCCGGGTATCATATTTTGGCCGGTGTCGGAGTCGGCGGAGGTGAATAATGGCCAGTTTTTTACTGTGGCCGGGTGGAATGTGGTAACAAGCAAGTACGGGGGGCGGTTGTGTCATCCGTCTCACTTTTGATTTGCCAGTGATAGACCGCGAGGGTAACTTTAACCGTGCAGAAACAAAGAGGAGGCGAAAATTTGATATCAAGTTCAAAGAGAACGTGCTGATTATGCTGCAGAACACTCTGGGGAGCAGTAGGGGTTGTATGAACTAGTCGACTTCACCGCTCTATAGTGACTTTTTATGCCTGCCATCAACTAGTCGCTGTCACGTGATAATGACCGGCAAGATGCAGTCCACTGAAAAGACAGCAGCCTGCTGTCAGCAGGTGACAAGCTCCTGCGCGTCGGGAGGCAACGCGCTGTGCTAGAGCGTCGGTACTGACACCCGCCGTAAAACGGACATTTAACCAAATTGTGACGTTTACCCTCTTGCAATTTAACCTTCCCCTCACCCCCATCCTAACCTTAACCAGCTTGCGCATGCAAAGCTCTGATTGTTGACGCACTCCAGACATCTGCGTCCTGAGCACGGCCACAGTAACATTATCAAATCAGGTGTTGCCACCTCAAAAACTAATTTAACACGCGATCGTTCATGTGGGCTCATTTCCTTTTATGTTTTCTGTCATTTATTCTTTTATTTGTGCCTGATGCTTTTTGCTGCTGTGGATCGGGGCGCATCACCTGTTTTTTCCTCGGTGACGCACCTAACTGATGTGGCCGGCGAGCAGCGCGCACTCCGCTGTTTTTGCGGTCGGTAGATCTTTTAGAACTGCAGTTCAAAGGTAACTCATAAGGTGAATATATATGAAGCCAGGTAGCAGTTTTTCTTTAGGATTGAGAGGAGATGCAGGAAGATAATAAACAGAAAGGACAGAAAAATAGTCAAATAAAAACAAGTTAGTTTTTGTACCTGCTGGTTGCAACAAACAGACACCATTGAAGGTAATCAGAAGTGAGGAAGAGAAAATGAAATAATTATTTTAATGTTTAGAGCAGCAGGAACTCCGCGAGGCTGCAGGCGCATCAGTGAGTTTGTGGCCGCTGTGCAGGGGGAGGGGGGAGAGGGCTGAAGCAGAAACTACCGTTGTTAAAAGAAATGTGTTTGTGGGCGCAATTTTAATCGTCAAAAACTCCAGCGAACCATTAGTTCATTTTGCTCAAATAGAAATTGAGGCCTGCCTCTAATTCTGGTCCTCCTTCCAATAAAGGCCTGGAGCTTGATGAGCTTGAGTCAAATACAGGCCCGGGCCTGTATTAGAGGATTTACGGTAATTTTGCTAATCTACACTGCAGAATGAAAACAGAAAACGATACTTGTAACAATCCACCCACCCCCACATAAAAAGAGATATAGCTATTTTTCCACAAGTTCACAACACTGTTCACGCACAATAAGAACAAAAAGAACGTGCAGAAACAGCGTCCCTACCTGTGTCTTACCTTCTCAGCATGCCGGTGAGGATACGAGAACTCTTGCCCAAGTTTGCATCCGTTTCTCTCAGCTGGGAAGAAAAAAATGAGAGGCAGTGTTAGGCAGGTCTTGAACTTATACTTTTTGGATTGTTCTTTCTTTAATTTGTCCTTATGTTTCATTGACTTGTTCAGTTTTATTTAGTTTGCTTTAAATAATTTAAAAATATTCTAAATAAACCTTTGCCGCAGGAATGCCAATGTCGGCGTTAAAATGTAACATCAGAAATTATTGGTATCAGCTTTTAATGTTTTAATGATGCAACTTTTAGAAACCACACACACTCTTCTGCTACTTCTCCTCTCACTCAAAATATTTAAAAAAAATTCACAGATCCAAGTTTGTTTGTTTGAAACAACTTTTGAAGAAGCAGAAATTTGCCCTGTAGTGGGAGTTAGTCAGAATTATCTCAGGGAGAATATGATTGAGTAGTTGTTGAAGACAAAATATATGACATTTTTCCCCATATCCTAACTTAAATTCAAGATGTCATATTTTTCATAGATAAGGTTTTAAGTAGTTTGTCTTTTTCATGAGGGACCACACATTTGTTGGTATTGGTTTACATCAGTGGCCCTCAATTGGCGGCCCGCGAGCCCTCTCTTTGTGGCCCCCAAACCCCGCGCGCACCCCCACTCCCACCCCCGACTGGGAGGTGTAGGATAGAGCTGAGAAAAATAATCAAACAATCAATGCATCGAGATGCGGGCATAAACGATTCTGCATCATAGAAGAGTACCATAATCAATTTTAGTGGATTGTGGTTTTGTTGTTATAATGGCGGCACCATCGTAGCATCCAGATCTGTCAGAGCGGGTGTTCTCCACATTTACCGGGTAGAAAACTTTGGTCTGCCTTTATGTGGTACTGCAGGGCTGAGCGCTGGAGTTATAAACTGAGACCAAACCCGAACCAAATCAGCCCGATCGGTTCTGTTGGATTTGGGCCGTGAATTATATTAATTGAGCGGGTTGTCACACGGCGCACTCCGCTCTCGATCAGCGAGTGAGAGAGAAAGAGAGAGAGGGAGATTGTGTGCTCACACAAGAGAGGATCAGAGGATGCTCCTCCAAACACGCATTATTATTTTCATAAGTTCATTATTATTTCTCCTGGAAGCGCTCAGTCAGTCAGAGTGCCGTGATGTCGGGAGGTCCGGTCTTGAGGAGGGAGCGGGGTGAGTGATGGCGGCTGCAGCGTAATCATCTGTATCCTTTATTTAGGGACACGGAGAAGTTAAAAGGAGAGAGAAATAGAAGATAGAAGTTTTTGTTCCACTTTATTCGTTTGTTTCCTGATGATAAACTGATGTTAAATTCAACCTAAAGAGAAACTGGGAGGAAGCTTTGGTTCATTTTAAGTTACAGGAGATCTTGTTTCCTATCTGCTCCTTCAGAGACAGCATGGACATGAGAGTTACATGGTGAGGGTCCCACAGGACAGGTTAGTGCAGTCACACAGCTGAGCTGGAGGGGGACAGGTGTTGTCCTTTATATTGCAAGCTGGTGTGTTATGTGCATTATAGCCAGCGATCCAAACAGCAGCATCATGACCACCACCACCACCATCATCATCATCACCACAGTCGTCATAGTCGTCGTCATCATCACCATCTTCTTCCATGGCGTCTTCATTATCATCACCAACATCATCATTGTGAACACCATCACCATCATCCTCATCATCTTCAATATCATCATCATTATCATCTTCAACATCATCATCACCATCATCACCACCACCACCATATCATCACCAACATCATCTTCAACATCCTCTTCATCATCATCATAATCATCATCACCATCACCATCATCTTCCTCCTCCTCATCATCATCATCATCATCATCACCACCACCACCATCATCGTCAACATTATCTCCAGCATCATCATAGCCATCATCCTTTTCGTTGTTGTCTTCATACTCATCATCATTATCACCACCACCAACATGAAATTAAAGCTTTCTATTAAGTGATTATAATAATGTAAATTAAACATGTTTTGGACAATTTTGTTTCTTTTTAACTCTCAGATTATATCAAATAATTAATAACATTTATTATTATTACAAACAAAACCCTTCCTTTCCTCAAACATTTTAAAGGTGACCCACAAACATACCAGATTTTACAAAAGCTAGCTGTAATTTCTTATGCATAGTGTGTGCAATTTAAAAAATAATTGAATAAAAAGTTCATCATGTAACTTTTGCTGTTTTATGATTTGAAGTCCCATGCAAGACATGAAACACTGTGGGGAACTTAACATGGCACTCTATATGATTGTGCTGTTAAGAAGTTGCTTTAATGGTTTCACCCAATACTCTCTTTTATTTGTACATGTGTCTTTATTCAAGTTTCATAACCACAGATCACACATAACATCACATACTAAAAATACACAAATCAGCTTCACAAACATAACTGATTATTAGATTTTAGTTTTCAAACAACCTTGTGAGCTAAGCTGAAGAGACCATTTTACCTTTAAGTTAGATGTGTGCTTGTCTACAAACAACCCTCTACAAAACCACCCACTGAGCACACGCTCACAGGCAATTTATCTAAAACAGAAATAGCCTGACTGTGGGTAAAATCCATACTGGCCCCTTTTTTCACTTCTAAGCACTATTAGCACCAAGAGCTGTTTAAAACAGAAAACATCTACTTTTAATCAGCTAGTCAATAGCAGTCACTCAACCGACCTTCTGCTGCTCCTGCTGCAGAACAAACATGAGAATGACATTTAAAAAATTAATAAAAAGAGCTGCTTTTACTTTTAACATACATAGAAAGGATGAGGTGTCCTTGAAGGCACCCCTGAAATAATGATCATGGCGATTCAGGACTAATTGCCTTGGATATTTCTCTTTTCTGGCTCCTTTCTTTCCTTCTGACATTTTCCCTTAGGGGTCACAGCGATGTTTTCATTCCACTCTATTATCAGATTTAGAGACTTTAACTGCAAAATGATTTGGCTGAGATGTTGCCAGTAAGGTGTGAAAGGAGAGGAGAAAAAGCTGACACTGCACTGCGTGAGCTGCCACCACCATAGTCACATGTTCCAGAAGATGATGGAAGTGGATTATTTTTCTCTACTCAGCATTCATCTTCGTCTCTTTCTAAAATAACACACTTTTCAACAAACACTCACTCACCTAATGTGTTTTCATTAGGACGTATTTTAAATATTTCGCATTTTAATTCTTCAATCGTTTCCGCAGAATGTTTTTTTTCTGTTTTAACTCATCTTTCAGTCTTTTCTGCTACTCACACTCCACCCCTCCTTCATGGACACTTTCTTCCTACTTTCCCATCTTTCTTTCCTACCCTCTGGCAGCTCGGGCTGATGGGATGCAGGCTGCCAGAGCCAAGGATACATGTGTGCAGGGTAGGAGGTGGGGGACCTTGGGTTTGGGCCCTCTGGCAAAGACAACAAGTCCAGCAGTTGCCTGATGTCTGCCTCAGCCCATAGATCCGTCCCCCTGATAGTTCACGCTTTCTCCCAAAATACACTCCTCCCTTTGAATCTCCCCCATTTCTTATGCCTTCATCCTTAACCTGAAATGGAAACCAAGTGAAATTTGTGTTCAGTTGAGTGTCTAAAATTAGCTGTGCATATATATGGAGGGAATGAGATGAAGGTGTTTTGCCTGACTTGTTGAGGTTTTCCACAGTTCAAATATAGAACAACTGCCAAACTCAGCCTCATGTTCAGGAGAAAACTGCATGTAAATTGTGTAACCATTATAATAAATTAAGCTCATTTGCACAAATACAAAAATAAGAAAATCACAATTTTGAGACTTGGAGGGAAAACTGCTAAATCAGCATCACGTTTATTTTTTAAATAAGTTTAAGCCTGTAAAACTTCAGGAACTTAACTTTGCATAAGCTTTAGGATGTCAATGTAAAACTAAGTAACTCATAATGTTCCTAAAATTAAATATTAAACTGTCATGTAATTATGTGCTCTCACGTGACATAACTGGTTAGCCTAGAGTGTAGACCGTCATTTGCCGTAGCAAAAATAATCTTGCTTTGCATGTTGGTCTAGCAAGGCTCCATTGGAACCCTTGCAGCCCCAGCCAGTAATGTGGCTGGCCAATCACAGCGTGTTTATTTAGAAAAGACTGTATTTTTGTCTTTCTCCCTGCTTCTTTCACGTGTATGGTGGACTGCCCCGTTGACTGACATCCATTACGGTCCAATCACAGCCCTCGATGGGTTTGGTGGGCCAATTATAGCACAGGCGGGATGTTGCTGAAGAAACAAAGATGGCGACAGCCCATTTGAAATTACTTTGGCATCAACTTTGGACAATTTAGGCTTGGGCTTTGAGTGAAGAGCAGATAGTAGTACTTAAGTCTTTTATTTGGAAAAAGGATGTATTTGCATCTTATTCAACACTGCTTGGCAGACTGCCCTGTTGGCTGACATCCATAGCGGTAAGTCACGTTGTTCAGTGTCCAATAGCATGCAGAAACAGTTGAAAAGACAACTGTACGATTGAGATCTGCCCATGAGAAGTGGCCATCCTATATATATATATATATATATATATATATAGATAGATAGATAGATAGATAGATAGATAGATAGATAGATAGATAGATAGATAGATAGATAGATAGATAGATAGATAGATAGATAGATAGATAGATAGATAGATAGATAGATAGATAGATAGATAGATAGATAGATAGATAGATAGATAGATAGATAGATAGATAGATAGATAGATAGATAGATAGATAGATAGATAGATAGATAGATAGATAGATAGATAGATAGATAGATAGATAGATAGATAGATAGATAGATAGATAGATAGATAGATAGATAGATAGATAGATAGATAGATAGATAGATAGATAGATAGATAGATAGATAGATAGATAGATAGATAGATAGATAGATAGATAGATAGATAGATAGATAGATAGATAGATAGATAGATAGATAGATAGATAGATAGATAGATAGATAGATAGATAGATAGATAGATAGATAGATAGATAGATAGATAGATAGATAGATAGATAGATAGATAGATAGATAGATAGATAGATAGATAGATAGATAGATAGATAGATAGATAGATAGATAGATAGATAGATAGATAGATAGATAGATAGATAGATAGATAGATAGATAGATAGATAGATAGATAGATAGATAGATAGATAGATAGATAGATAGATAGATAGATAGATAGATAGATAGATAGATAGATAGATAGATAGATAGATAGATAGATAGATAGATAGATAGATAGATAGATAGATAGATAGATAGATAGATAGATAGATAGATAGGATGGTTTGCCAGGCTAAGAACTAAAGACCCTGAAACCCAAACTGTATTCTGGAGAACAGCAGGCTAATTTATAGGTTTCTTTGTTGACTACACCATACATATTAATGCACATTCTGCTATATTTAAAGTGACACGTCTGCACAGAAAATAGAAATATTTACTCAATAGCTATAGGACTAATAAATGGTAAATGGCCTGTATTTGATATAGCGCCTTCTAGAGTCCTGGAACCCCCCAAGGAGCTTTACAACACTACCAGTCATTCACCCATTCACACACACATTCACACACTGGTGGGGATGAGTTACGATGTAGCCACAGCTGCCCCGGGGCGCACTGACAGAGGCGAGGCTGCCGAGCACTGGCACTACCGATCCCTCCGACCACCACCAGCAGGCAATGTGGATTAAGTGTCTTGCTCAAGGACACAACGACAGCGACAGACTGAGCGGGGCTCGAACCTACAACCTTCCAATTATGGGGCGAGCACATGACTCCTGTGCCACCGTTGCCCACATAAATAAAAAGCAAATGTAAAGACTGGCTCAACTTTTAAATAAAATGTGAACAAATGTCTAATAGGGTTTAAATTTATAGTTTGAATCTTTCTTGCAATTATTAAGTCCCGGTTTCAAACTAACAAATCTGTACTCTTTAATCATATTAAGATTTAAATCACACCTTAAACCTTTTTCCTGCTGCTTACATGAAAACTGAGCATCAGAGTCCGAAGAAGAAAAGTCATTTTATTTATATGATGAAAGCGTCGACCTCCTGCTGGGCAAACAGGTTTTTGCAGAGTTTTACATTATTAATATATTTTTTTATGCTAAAAATATTTCACATTCTATTAATTTAACCTTTCCATGCTTCATCCTTACTTCTTTTTTTTTTCTTTGCTACACAAGCTTCCTTTAAAGCCGAGTCTCTGTGTGTGTGTGAATTTGTGTACATGTGGTAGGGAGGTTAAGCAAAGGAGACTTGTGGGAAAGGGGGAGTGAGAGAGAGAGCAAAAGAAAGAGAGTTGAGGCACTCTCAGTAGACACTGGACCGTTTTGAAAGGAGATGTTTGATTTTCTTTGAAACCGCCAGCACGAGGCCCTCTACCATGTTATGATCTTTAAGCATTCTGCGCTGCGTGGGCCAACAGGGCCGGGCCCCCTTCCCATGTTTGGTCTTTGCTGTCTCTGTCTACCTGTCTGTTTGGTGGGCTGCATGTTAGAAGAGGTATCATTAAGGATCTGGCAGACGTCGAGGAAAAGATGGAGGGAGAGAAAGAAACTGGAGATCAGAGGTGAAACGTAGAAGGATCGATGGAGGACGATGGCAGCGGGAAAAATCAACCACAGCCAATAGAAAATAAAAGAAACTAATCATTTGTGAACTTATTTTCTGATTTTATATGACAAAATGTGTATGGATCTTAAAATAAATAAAAGGAAAGCACAGAATAAAAAAATCATAATGAAAGTATCAGAGACTGGAAAACAATAGTAACCAAATGTACACAGGCTGCTTTGTCAATTCTGCTGACTTAGTTTCTGCACAAGTATGTCTAAGACTTTACTTGACAAAATAAAAACTAAAAAACGACAGTACTGCTAACCAGCTGTCACGGCTTACAGCTTTGCATACACTTGTTAGAACAGAGACCCCAGTTTGTGCAGGTGACAGGTGTGTACTCACCCTCTCTCTGGCTCGCTGTATCTTCTCACGATCGGTGTGCAGGTTGGAGAGGATCTCCTGTCCCACTTGTTCTGGAAAAGAAGAGAAGGAATGTAGTGTGAGAAGCCTGCATGTCCAGCAACTGCAAGAAAAGACTTTTAATCATGTTTTAATCTTGTAAATCATTAAATTGCAGGTATTTTTCATAAAAAATAAGGTGGTAGGCAAATACAGTCTGCATGTGAAACAGTGTGCATTTTAACTGTTTACTCTCCAGAAACCTGCTGAAAAGGCAGGTAGCACAATAATATAGAGGCAATAAATCAAGTTCAAGCTTATTTTTCTGACTTTCCCTTCATTGATTGATCATTTTGTCCAGCCAGGTGAAAGCTACAAGAGAATCATCTCTCCCAAAAACCCAGAATGGCATCCAAATGCCAACATTTGACTAAATGCAAAGAAAAAACACCCAGAATCATGCAATATTTGCTAGTTATCACAAAACACGTAAATCACAAAGATGATAAAAAACAGCTACACAGAACAGACATGTAGAAATAAGTAGACAGTTGTGGAGGTTTTCTACCATATTTATCTCATTAGGATCACCCCAACCTTCAAGTATCTTAAACCTAAAAAAGTAAAGACATTTACAAACAAATAAAATGTAACCTAGAAAAGTTAGACCTTCCACACTTATCTCCCATCAAAAAAATCTGTCATCAATGTAAAAAATTTAGCTACGTTTGTGGTAAAAATATAAATAAAAAGAAAAAAGAAAAATTGGGGAGGTAGACAATAAATCAGGGGGTAAAGTGAAGAATCGTTGCATGGATCAAAGACGGGCTTTCAAGCGCACCAAACAAATCCAGGATAAACAACACAGTTGCTGACTGTATTACACTACACAGGTGCCGCACACCAAAGGGCCCATGTGCTGAGCGCCTGTTCGAGGGGGGAGCAGAGCAAAAATGGGCTACATCTGGCAGCTAAACAAGAGAAGAGAGAGAGAAAATGACTCAGAATGAGAGATGGAGAAAGGGGATCAGGGAGAGGTAAAGAAAAAAAGCAGAACGCACTGTCAAATGAACAACATTCGTCTCCCATTCATCCCATCCTTCTCACACCCCTACACTGTAACTGACTCAAACGTGTCTCTTCCTGCCTTCATTAATTTCTAATCTGGAACAAGACAGATTGAAGGATACCCAGATTAAACAGTGCAGTCAGACAGTCACATGTGACAAATAGGGCAGATTAAAAGACTGAGTGCAGGTATTAATAACCATAAAAATACAAGCCCTCCCCCGTGCTTATTGGCAGAGAACAAGGGATAAACAGGAAGGGAGTTGAAGCAGAAATCTTCTGTTAAAGAGACAAATAACCACATCTATCCATCTCTGTCAGCGCTGGAGCTTCTATTTTAATAAATGAGCGTGACAAGCAGTGCAGGAGGTGCTTTTTATGGCAAGTGCATTATTGGAAAGGTTTGCAGTGTGCAAAAAGATGGATGAGGTAGAAAGACCTGTAAAGATATTTTACCCAAAGTATTGAGTAATCGATGCACACAGTCTGTGAGAAGCTATGCTTTGTAGTTGTGGTTTAAAATGTGTTTTAGTGATGAAAATAGAGAAAAGACGGTGAAGTCTGAGCTGCAGTAGTTCCAGTTTCAGAAATGAAACAGACATTTACATTAACCACTAAGTGATTTCTTTACTGATGATCAGGTCTGTGAAAAAGAAAAAATATGCTTTAGCAATTTTTAATATTTGGTTTGCTAACATTTGAGATTTAACAGGAGTTGCAGCAGTTTACTGGAGATGCTGAACAAGTTCAATCTACAAAAAAAAGTGAAACCTGGGAGTCAAAGAAATTGTTGTCAGAGACATTTATTAAAGCTCATGAAGAAACTAACAGAGGAGTTTTACTGATGTTTCCGATGGTTTTATTCTTATGATGGGGAATTTTTCTCCCCAACATAATTACTTTATGGGGTTCTCTGACTACAGGAATTCTGTTTTTTTTTGTTTTGTTTTTTGTTTTTACTGTTGGTGTATCATCCATTTGTAACAATTGAATTTTATATACATTTAAAATAATCTTCTAGATGTAGACTATGTGCACATGTAGCTGGGGGAACGACTAACAAAAGAATTTTTTCAGTCATTTGGCAAGTCATCCACCTGTCATCAAAAACTCCAATATATGTAATGTGGCTGTAGATAGCCGGGGTTTTAGGTTTTGAAACGTCCCTGCCCACAACAAAACTGCTCTGACATGGCATGTGCGACTCACTCAAGCTCAATACTCAGCATTAAGATTTTTACCACGCTACCTAGCTATTCCACATCCAGAGAATGTTTTTCAGCACAAATGATTTGGGGAAATACTGCCGCCAACAGGCTTGGTGTGCCTATCTATGAATGTGCATCCCAAAGCGCTGGAGTTTTAGCTGAAAACGAGGTGGTGTGGATCACAGCTTTTATCCTAAATGGGTGATCTGGTTTTACAAAAGCTTGGCTACATGTGTATAGGCCCTTAGTTTTCATCAGTTACTGGTGATTGATTTACTATGATTTATGCAAAACTACTACTATTCTGATGTTGAACTTCTAATCATCTTTGTCATCATTCCAGCTACATTTGTTACTGTTAATCAGATTTTACTTTATAATTCTCAAAACATATTGAAAGTTATAAACTAAATTGTATTAAAAGTTAAATTTGGAACAATTTAGTAAAAAGCAATATTTTTAAAAATACCTCCACGGGGTGTTAGAAGGTGTGCAGAATGTATGACATTTCCTTTAAAAGTTATATTTTCATGAAAAAATAATCAAACTTTTTTTGGATGGGTTTACCTTTACATCTACCAGCCAATAGAGGGCACTATTGCAGATTGCCAAACAGTCCACTCAGCACAGCAAGGCTGGAATGTGGAAAATGGCAGACTCGTCAAGTCAAGCAGCTTCTTCTGAGGCCAGAAGAGCCGCTATCCTTCTCGGAAGAGGAGCGGCCATAAAAGATATAAAACCAGAGTTTTGGTGAAGCCTGCCAGATGGTGCCAAAAATAAATACTCACGTATCGGCAGCGAACCTGGAATCCCAATGGCTGTAAACTTTGTTCTATTGTTGCAACTACAACCTCCACACACTAGATGTCGCTTTGGTGCTCGCAGTTTAGGGAGTTTTAGTTCTCGGATCATCAGGATTTTACACATTCTTACTGTAGAAATACTTTAACAGCAGAACCTTTACAAATAACATTCACTCAAAATAAAATATGTACAGTTGATAAAACAATTCCAAAAGGAGAAATCATTTACTGGTAATGTTCCTGACTTGTCGCTTGTTAGAGTATAAAACATTCCTCGCTTGTTTGAACCACTATTAACAATTTAAATAACCCTGGCCCGCAGGCCGTCCTCTGGCTCTCTTGTTAAAGCTTCCCATCCCCAAAGGCCCATTTAACAAGCCCATTATTGCATTACATTACATTTACATCAGCACCAGAGAACCTTAATTTAACTAGCTCCTCTAATGTAACTGTGGAAAATGAGTTTTATAGAGAAACTAAACGCAGGAGTCTAATGGGAGGAAAAACAAACACCAGTATAAAGAATGTAATCCTGTTACAACAGAAACAGAACAGCTCTGCTTTAACTCAGATTAACATTTGTAAATTTGGTTTAGTTACAAAATATTACCTGTCCATAAATTAATCTAATCTGTAGCTAGAAATTCTTTATAATGTTCATTATGTCCTCTTTTTTTTAATACTACACGAGTTTCTTTTCGTTTCGGACATGAAGGTGTTTTGAGTTACATTGACATGTCACAGATGTTTGTGTGACGCGTCTTTATGACAGCAAACAACGGTCGAAACATGTCAAGGTAACTCGAAACACCTTCATGTCCGAAAGGAAAAGAACCTTGTTTAATATGTAGCTAGAAATACTTGGGGAATATATTCAACAAAAGTTTAAACATTAATAAGAACCAATTTTCCTTTTTTTTCATGTAAGATAGAAGCTTGTTTCCATTTCCTTTGCTCAGATCCATATGGCGAAAAATGTTCTCCAGATTTCTGCATCATTTAACTGGCAGAAAGGTCATATAATCCAAATTTGATGAAAACATGTGAACTATTATTCAAAGCTTCAGATGGTAAATATCTCCTACATCTGATTATGACATATATTATTTATTTCTGCTCCCATAACCCAAGAGTGTCCAAATATTTCAACACCAGGGCCAACATCCCTAGGTAAATGTCATTATGGGCCACAGAAATGTGAGGTGTTTATATATATATATATATATATATATATATTTTTTTTTTCAATTAAATTATGCTAAAATTAGTTTATGGGCAAAATCCATTTTTGTCTACTGCTCAAAAGAGGCTTAAGATGGACATATTAGTAAACGTGAACATAGAAATGTTAAAAAATGTCCACCTTAGGGTGACCAGATCTCATGCTTGTTTTGGTTTGGGTGCGCACTCCACACATGCTCCGGATCTGTGATAAAGACCCGCCTCTGTTTGATTGACAGCAACAGGAAGATTTTTCCACAGTTTCTTCTATAGAGCTCCGGACCCCACGTGACTCAGTTAGTAGACGCCATTTTGGCAGGTAAAAAAAGGTAAACAAACACATGAACGTGAACGGGATCAGCTTGGATTTTACTTCGTCGGAGTTTACTTCACACTTTAAAACCGAAGAAATCGTTTTATATAGTCAGAAATTAAATAGACTAAACATCTCCGACCCTTACCGTGTCCCTGGGATACTTTTTAAAAACGCCAGAAGCTGTCAGAGCGGACTTCTTACCGGACCTGGCCGGAGAACCCCTTGGGATTTACCCGGAGGAGCTGGCTCTGGCGGCTGGGGAGAGGGAAGTCAGGGCCTCTCGACGCTACTGCCCCCGCAACCCGACTCTGGATAAGCGGATGAAAATGGATGGATGGATGGACAAATAACATATTTATACGTATGTAGTTTAAATAGAGTGCTGTGCTGTGCTGTTTGAATGCATAAACTGAACGCCAAGAGAAATCACTAGTTTGATTTTTTTCCCGTGAATAAAA